TTCTAAAGATCTAAAGTGTCAGCTGTCAGGAGCTAAAACACAAAAAATATTGGTCCCAGGCTTCAAAAGGCTACATTGATCAAAACGGTAACACACTCAGACACACACTGGATCCAAACCCACCGGGAGGACTGGCCGTTCTTACTGCAGCTGGTGTAGATGACTGGCTCGTCGTCATAGAAACTGCCAAGGGCAAGTTTCTGCCTGATGGACTCTCTCTCATTCCTCTGAGCCTGCCATAGAACAAAACATGTAGAATATTATTAAAACTGCTGCTGCTTTAACTCCACCTTTGCCTGATTGACCAACAGGGAATTATTCATGAGAAGAAAAAGTAATCTGGGTGTGCAGTTTGCTGTTTAAATGAAAGCTGTAAATACATGTATTGTCCCAAAAATTATGCACTTCCTGGTAATGAGGAGGAGTAGGATGAAAGAAAAAGAGGGAAGGGAAAATATGGAGGAGGAAATTGTGATTATGCAGGATTTAATGTAGCAAAGTCACACAATCCAATTTGCTGCACTTCACACATAAGAATAATCCAACTGTGGGCTCATGTAGGACACTGTACATACTATTATATTGTATGTTAACAAAGCATAATCTTTTTTTCCCTTTTTAATATGAGCTGAAATTACATCTACAGACATTTACAAGTAGCTGACCTCAATATATTGAGTATAGATAGTTGATGTGAGATTTACAGCCTGACAAACACAAAAAACAGGATATCTTTTTAGTCTATTTTTACAGGCCATTGAAACTAGACTTAATGTGAAGCTGATTTAAGAGGGACACCTGACAGTCTGTTATAGATTGACCACCTGTCCTGATCTATACATTGATACATCGTGTGATAGATAAGTCATGCGTAAAGGTGAGCTGGTACTGAACATAGATGGATGAATGAATGAGGCAGCTTCCATCCTCATTGATGGTAGCCAGTTTTTCACGATCAAAATGGATGAAATATTACTGAACTGTTTCCACCGGATCTAAAGAGGAGTTATAGCTTTAATGTTCTAAAGATATTGGATATGTATTGTTAAAATGATTGTTTCCATCTGTAATTGCTCACTTGTCAGGACAGCAGCCTTTCTCTACTGTAAAATTACTTGAACAGAAGCATCTTGTGCCTTTCGTTCATAAAACCATAGCATTCCTCTAGCTGCTTAGCACACCCACATACTGTACATGTCTTTTCTTCTCCTATTTGTTTCTGTAAAACTTCAGATGTTTATTTACTTTTGCTCCCAGTGTCTAGAATGTCCATTGTCCACTGTTCCACTGTTACTTTTATGTTCTCCTTTTTTCTCTTCTGTTTTTTTCGTCAGCCTAATCAGATTTTGTATTCATGAATCATTACTCTTATCTCTTCCCCTCTGGAGCTGCCCTATTTGAGCAGCGCTATGTTACTGGTACACAAACCCCCCATTTGTCATTAAATATTGCACAGAATGACCAAGCAAATCACATGGTTTCTTTATCTTGCACCTTGGTGTAGGTTTTTTTTTATCCTGAGATTGTTCATAGTGCCTTCATGTAAGGCCGCCTGCCTCTATGTGTGTGTGAGCATGTGACACACACTCCATCACCAGCAACCATTGTATAACAACTCCAAATTTAGGGATGTTTCTCCTATGTCATACATCTGTTTCAAAATAACCTTAAAACCAGCCCATTGAAATGCCTCCTCTCCTTTTTTGTGGCACATTATAAGATTATCATAAGGCTGTGATGTAAGAGCACAAATCACAGTTGATCGCCTTCACTTGCCCAGAACAATGTTCTTCTTCCTGCCTATCCACTTCAGACAGTCGCATGTCTTCCTTCTAACAGTCGACTTTAATGAATTCATACACAACCTTTTTAAAACTCCCAACTGAAAGTATAAGGTGTTGCAAAAGCCCTCATGATGTCTATTAATCATGAATAATTAAATTATTGAAAATCTAAATAAGCATGGTGTATGATTATATACATGAAAATGATACAAGATATTAAATTATATTGAATTGTGCTTAGCATATATAAAACACAGAGATGAACAGGGAAATATCACATATTGAACACACCCACACCCCTTCACAATCACACATCCAGTCGTCCATAATGGCTGATTCATCTACAGCAGCTCACCCATGATGGAAACCTATCATGTATACCTGAAAATAACATGCCACATATACTACCCCCTCTGAATCACTAACAGATAGAGACATAAATCCACACACCTGGTAAATGCGTTTCTCCTGGTGCACCATCCTTCATTGCATTGTACTAAAACAGCAGCCTTGCCCTTCTCTACACTGCGGTGAAGCTAGACCCAGGAGACCCGCTCATATACTGCAGCTCTGAGCAGGAGAACGAGCGAGTAGTGAGGGAGGGAGGGAGGGAAAAGAGCAGTAAGGGGAGGGGGAAAGGCAGCAGGAGGAGAGGAGAGGAGAGGAATGAGGGAAAAGCAGAGGAAAGAGTGGGAAGAGACGGAAGCAGAGGAGATAGAAGGGGAAAGGATGAGACAGAGCTGCTCAGTGCTGCCACTTCTCTCCTGATGTGATATCTCTTCCTCCATCTTCTATGTTTGCTTAGACCTGGCCTCATTATCAGGATTGTTTTTAAATCTAAAATAAGACCAAATAACAACCAAATGGAACCTGCCAGGAATACATGTCCTGATGAGAAGAGACTTGACCCAATCAATTAACAGGGGAAAAAAGGCATATGATCGGTTGCATGGAAAAGTGAGGGATAAGATAAGCTAAGGCTGACAAATGAGACTGCAACCCTGGAAAACAAAACCATTAAGGGGGCCAGAGCTCAATCAATAACAGCTCTTCTAGTAAATGTCAGCGTTTTTTTAAGAGCACTGACATGGTGTCTGTATCTTCTCCAGAGCAGAGTAGTGATTTTTATTTTATTTTAACATTGTGTTGTTTATGTTGTCTCTTAAGGAATCTCCTCCAGCCCCAATTCCACTTCACAGATTCAAGTGTGATGAGCTGGAAGATAAATGAGGAAGCACAGAGTGAGCATGCTTGCACATGCAAATGAAAACACAAAACACACACACACACACAAGTATGCACATACTAGCAATTAGTTCCCAGGCTGCAGTAGTGGAATCAAGCAGCAAAACATTTTTGAGTCATCAGTCATTCTTTATCAGCATCAGATGCCAAATTTCATCAGCATTTTAGCCTTTTTTTATTTCTCTGAGCTCATTCATACATGTACTATTTGGGTTTTGTTATCACATTAGTACGTTTTACTTTTACTTGAGATTGTTTGTGGGTTTTTTTTTTTCTGATATATTTTAAGAAGTTGTGCTCACTCCACATGACTTGTCCTGTCTCATTCTGTTTCCTCGTAGTTCAAAGATTCAGTTGACTTTGTCAGAACAAATGTACTAAGAGTAAGTAACTCAGGGCTTCACTCACCGAAATGCTGGACAGTCTGACTCGCCCTCCACTGTAATAGTCTTCTGCCTGTGGTGCGAAGATATCCTGGAGCTCCTCGGCCCAACTGCAGCTGTTAACCATGCAGCCTCTTCCTCCTGTCTGGTTTTGTGTGCAATCATCTTCACAGTTGTCCCACCAATGACCTTCTTTGGCCTTATTAATGAATACCTCTCTCTCCTCTTCCTCATCCATGTCTACATCATAGTCGTCCATCACAAGCTGTATGAAGTGGTTGGAGCAAATGTTAGGGTCGGAGAAGAGATCTGTTGAAAGCTGCTTGAAAGCTGTCTGTATCAACTTTTATTATTCCCTGTGATCATGCAGATAAAAAAGTAGATACATATAAGAATTGGCTTAAACATTTGTATATCAACATTCTCAGTCATTTAAATTAATATATAAATCATATGTTCCTAGTCTGTGTTGTTTCAGTCTTTGACTTTAGTTTCAAACATACAATTCTGCTCAAGATAATTACAAAATGTAATGCATCTTTCATTCTAAATTAAAACCAGTGGTAAATTGAATAGGTAAAAATAGCACTCACCTTCATAGTGAAGTGCAAGGTTCTCCAAATAAAATTTAAATCCAAACCCAGCACTTGTAATACAGAGATAAGCAGAGTGTTGTATAACACATCAACCCTTCTCCCATGCTGGACAGAGGCAATATGACCTCTGAAAGGATGGTTTTGAGCATTTCTTTGTCCTTTGCAGACTAGATCTTTCTCCGAAATGAGGGCTCCATAATTCCAGGCAGATAACACTGAAGTGAAATGGAATAAATATAGGCATGCATCCTTGCTTACACAGCTCTTGTAGTTTCAATGATGCGTGTATATTTGTGTGTCCATCGTCAGTGGGTGCCCAGAGGAAAGAGCACCATGTGGAAATATATAGGAACAGACAGAATGGGGATACGTGTATGTGCTGTATGGGACTGAGGGTTTTACAGAAATAAAAACAAGTTACAGAGAGTTGCTTCTATTCCCTGGCAGGTAGATACAACATTGCCTTTGGCAGCTCTATTTGAGCAGTAAGAGATGACCTAGGTGAATGAGCAGAATCAGCATGACATCTCACATTTTAATTTTCACCATTTAAGGGGGTGAAACAAGTGAGGCATGCCACATTACTTCCCTCAAGGCTTTAAAAGCAGTCTGTTCTTTACCCCATTTTTCTGAAGTACGTAGAGACAGATACGTTTACCACTTTGAGAAAATGGGATTACCTTCTCAGGATTCTACATTAGTGCAAGCTTTTTCAACCGTTTAAGGCAACCTTCAGATATGGACACTGTACAGTCGGGTTAGAATTCTGTGTAACCTAGGCACCTATTGTGATAGCACACTTTAACCATTTTTGCACAATAGCATTGTAGGCCTCAATTAAAACATCAAGGGTCTTTGAGAGGAAGTCAGTATTGCTTTTACCAGGAAGTTAAGAGATAAACCTGTGTCATAAATTCATATAGGTCCTGCAATTAGCTTGACACAAATGCAAGAATGATGCATGCAAGAAATGAAGCATGAGTGAGACCAACTTAAGGTTAAACCATTTTATTGTTGCCCAGTAGTAGGACAGAACCTGAAACAAAGAAATAAAATACTTAAGAAACCCAGTTGAAAGATTTAAACTAAATCATAAAATTACTACCAAGGATTACCTTTGGAGTTATTATGGCACAGATTTTTACCAGTAGTTGAAGCCTGGATGTAGGTGCGACCGAGTCTGGAGTCCAGATTTGTAGCCAGTTTGGGGCATTAATTTCTGGCCTGGATGTTTACCTGCCTTACTGGATTTGTACAAAATACATGGAATAAATGGTTCCTGGTAGTAAGGCACAAATGGACTCACAGGCCCTGGTTATTTGCTGGGCTTTGTCATTTGAGCAGTTGGAAGGGGAAGATGCAGTTGTTGGCTTTGTTGGATCAGGGCCAGGTCTTGGGCACCTCAATCAAAGGCAGGCACCCAGCGTTGCCTAAGAAGGGAGAAATAGACTATTATTCCATACTAACCAGTCATGCACCAAACATTGTAAACATCACAATATACAAGCTTGGGTTTGATATTAACCCATGTCTAGCTGCAAGTCACCAGCTCCAGGTCCCATGGCTCTACACTTAATTTTCTCTGTACCAGAGTGCAGGGAAGGATTCAAGCGCTGCCATGCTGCTTCAATGGCCATGTTGTCCTCCAGTTTTGATGTCTGTTCAAACATCCTTAGGAGTAAAGAAGTCAACACTAGATCAATACAGGCTATTTCAGTTTGGTTTTTACCTATAACATTACATTTCTATTTAGAAGATTAAAATGGTTAACCTGGCAGAAAAGAAGAAGTAAAACTCCACACCAAACAGCAAAGGGGAAACATGACTGCCATAGTTTGACGTGCACTACAACCACTGCCATCTTCAAATACCATCCTGGATCAATCCACAAGGAGCAGATGGAGAGCACTTCGCTATGCAGGAGAAACTGAATCACGACTTTAAATACTGGGCCTAAATTGGCTCCAGGGAATCAGCAGGTCAAATGCTATCACCTGTGTTCACATCACAAAAAACAGGTGTGTTGATTAGAACCCTTTGATGTGTTATTAGACATCTCGGGTCAATATTTCACAGCTGTGTTTGTTTCGTTGGTCATTTTGCAGTTAGGTTGGGGAATAATTACATTCAGTGATGTTTGGCCCTAAAGTCTTAAATTTGGAGTTAAGTCCCCCATCCAGCATGTTCAGATACATGTTTTGTGTCCTTTCTTTGTTATTTTTGGTTCTACTTTAAGTGTAGCATTACAAGCAGGAATGATTACTGCATTGTTTTTTTAGTGCCCGCCATTGGCTATCCTTTAATTTCATTGCCATCATAAGTTATGAACAGAAACACAAGAATGCTGCATTCTTTTTTTTTTAATTTTTTTTTTTTTACTTTTTTCAGTATAGTTTGAATTGGTTTTTAATGCTAGTTTGTTAGTTTAGTTTAGTGTTTATTCTTATTTAAATCAATAGTTTTAGTTTAGTTTGTATTAGTTTTAGTTTTATGTAATAATGTAATGTGATGCTTAATAAGGGTTGAGACAAAAGAGCGAAAGTAAACATACTATTTTGTGCAAATAAACTTCATGATGCAACTCCTGCATAAGCTCATCCAAAACAAAAATGGCTGTTCCTGGTATAAACCATAAGGCATGTGTCACTCAGTATGTTTGTGCCAAAGGCAAGGCAACTTCATTTATATCGCACACTTCAGAAGTGTGTTTGGCCATAGCTAAAATAACAGTTGTTTAAAACATGTAATAGGAGTAACACAACTCCATTTAATATGTATTTCCTAGGTGGGATATACATTAGGACTTAGATTTAGAAAAAAATCCACATACTTTCAAACATACAGTAAATTTAAATACATATTGGACTTCATTCCAAATAGGCAATTGATACTCAAACTAGTGTTTCAGTATTAAAATATGAGTAGAGAAAGTCTAAGCTTAAAGAGGAACAGCAGTATACAAAGAACATGGAAATATATTCCAATAATTCTCAGTTAACTTTGTCTTCCACTCATTGGAATAATTTTTTCCTTCATCCTGTGAACTGTTTTCTTGAGGACACGAAGCAAGAACAATATTTGTTTTCATTTGTAATAAGAGAGTAGTGAGATGGAAGATGACATGTTTATGAGACCTGCTGATGAAGGTAGGATTTAAGTTGAGGAAATATAAAGCACCTTTAGGCAAACACAAGCTCCAAAAAGTAAGCCCCCTAACCTTTTGGATATGTTCAAGCCCATGTCATTGACAACTGATGTGCAATGCAACTCAATGGCCTTTAGAGCTTGTTCAGACAACTATTGACAGTATTTTACAAAAGAAATGTGTTGAGCCACAGTGCCACCATGTAGACAAGTCTCAAATAGCCCTTTAAAGTTTGAAAAGAATATAAAGTACAAACTCTCATTGACAGTTAGAGGTCAAATAAACAGTTGAGACAGTATCACTTGTTTGTCAAACCATTTATTAGAACACTTAATATGTTACACTTGAGGAGGGGGGTACAGTATGGGATAGGGCATGTACGGAAACTGAGGAACATTGGCATGTGGATGAAAATGTGGTCAAGGCTGTGTAGGTGCTGGAGGGGGGTCTGTTGCAGAGGGTGTGGTAGTAGGTTCCTCCGTAGTTGTTAACGGCTCAGGTGTTGATAGGGATGGTAAAGAGGATAGTTGGGAGGCATATATTTTTGAGCATGATATTTAACTTTGGGCGGTTGAGTTTTGGTTTTACAACTTGGTTTAGTCTTGGTCGATCTGGTTGGTCTTGTCGGTCTAGTCGGTCTGGTCGGTCTGGTCGGTTCAGTTTGCTTGGTTTTGGTCGGCTTGGTTATGGTGGTTTTGGTCGGTTTAGTTATAGTCGGTTTGGTTTTGGTCGGTTTAGTTTTGGTAGGCTTGGTTTTAGTCGTTTTAGTTTTGGTTGGCTTGGTTTTGGTAGTTTTGGTCGGCTTGGTTTCGGTCGATTTAGTTATAGTCGGTTCAGCATTGGTCGGTTTAGTTTTGGTCGGTTTAGTTATAGTCGGCTTGGTTTTGGTCGGTTTAGTTATAGTCGGCTTGGTTTTGGTCGGTTTAGTTTTAGTCGGCTTGGTTTTGGTCGGTTTAGTTTTAGTCGGCTTGGTTTTGGTCGGTTTAGTTTTAGTCGGCTTGGTTTTAGTCGGTTTAGTTTTGGTCGGTTTAGTTTTAGTCGGCTTGGTTTTGGTCGGTTCAGTTTTAGTCGGCTTGGTTTTGGTCGGTTTGGTTTTGGTCGGTTTAGTTTTGGTCGGTTTAGTTTAGTCGGCTTGGTTTTGGTCGGTTTAGTTATAGTCGGTTTAGTTTTGGTTGGCTTGGTTTTGGTAGTTTTAGTCGGCTTGGTTTTGGTCGGTTTAGTTTTAGTCGGTTTAGTTTTAGTCGGCTTGGTTTTGGTCGGTTTAGTTATAGTCGGCTTGGTTTTGGTCGGTTTAGTAATAGTCGGTTTAGTTTTGGTAGTTTTAGTCGGCTTGGTTTTGGTCGGTTTAGTTATAGTCGGCTTGGTTTTGGTCGGTTTAGTTATAGTCGGCTTGGTTTTGGTCGGTTTAGTTATAGTCGGCTTGGTTTTGGTCGGTTTAGTTTTAGTCGGTTTGGTTTTGGTCGGTTTGGTTTTAGTCGGCTTGGTTTTGGTCGGTTTAGTTATAGTCGGTTTAGTTTTGGTTGGCTTGGTTTTGGTAGTTTTAGTCGGCTTGGTTTTGGTCGGTTTGGTTTTAGTCGGTTTAGTTTTAGTCGGCTTGGTTTTGGTCGGTTTAGTTATAGTCGGCTTGGTTTTGGTCGGTTTAGTATAGTCGGTTTAGTTTTGGTAGTTTTAGTCGGCTTGGTTTTGGTCGGTTTAGTTATAGTCGGCTTGGTTTTGGTCGGTTTAGTTATAGTCGGCTTGGTTTTGGTCGGTTTAGTTATAGTCGGCTTGGTTTTGGTCGGTTTAGTTATAGTCGGTTTAGTTTTGGTCGGCTTGGTTTTGGTCGGTTTAGTTTTAGTCGGCTTGGTTTTGGTAGTTTTAGTCGGCTTAGTTTTGGTCGGTTTAGTTATAGTCGGCTTGGTTTTGGTCGGTTTAGTAATAGTCGGTTTAGTTTTGGTAGTTTTAGTCAGCTTGGTTTTGGTCGGTTTAGTTATAGTCGGCTTGGTTTTGGTCGGTTTAGTTATAGTCGGCTTGGTTTTGGTCGGTTTAGTTATAGTCGGCTTGGTTTTGGTCGGTTTAGTTATAGTCGGTTTAGTTTTGGTCGGCTTGGTTTTGGTCGGTTTAGTTTAGTCGGCTTGGTTTTGGTAGTTTTAGTCGGCTTAGTTTTGGTCGGTTTAGTTATAGTCGGCTTGGTTTTGGTCGGTTTAGTAATAGTCGGTTTAGTTTTGGTAGTTTTAGTCAGCTTGGTTTTGGTCGGTTTAGTTATAGTCGGCTTGGTTTTGGTCGGTTTAGTTATAGTCGGCTTGGTTTTGGTCGGTTTAGTTATAGTCGGCTTAGTTATGGTCGGTTTAGTTTTGGTCGGCTTAGTTTTGGTCGGCTTAGTTTTGGTCGGCTTAGTTTTGGTCGGCTTAGTTTTGGTCGGCTTAGTTTTGGTCGGCTTAGTTTTGGTCGGTTTAGTTATAGTCGGTTTAGTTTTGGTCGGCTTGGTTTTGGTCGGTTTGGTTTTAGTCGGCTTGGTTTTGGTCGGTTTAGTAATAGTCGGTTTAGTTTTGGTCGGCTTGGTTTTGGTAGTTTTTAGTCGGCTTGGTTTTGGTTGGTTTAGTTTTGGTCGGTTTAGTTTTAGTCGGCTTGGTTTTGGTCGGTTTAGTTATAGTCGGTTTAGTTTTGGTCGGCTTGGTTTTGGTCGGTTTAGTTTTAGTCGGCTTGGTTTTGGTCGGTTTAGTTTTGGTCGGCTTGGTTTTGGTCGGTTCAGTTTTAGTCGGCTTGGTTTTGGTCGGTTTAGTAATAGTCGGTTTAGTTTTTGGTCGGCTTGGTTTTGGTAGTTTAGTCGGCTTGGTTTTGGTCGGTTTAGTTTTGGTCGGTTTAGTTTTAGTCGGCTTTGTTTTGGTCGGTTTAGTTTATAGTCGGTTTAGTTTTGGTCGGTTTAGTTTTGGTCGGCTTGGTTTTGGTCGGTTTAGTTTAGTCGGCTTGGTTTTGGTAGTTTTAGTCGGCTTGGTTTTGGTCGGTTCAGTTATAGTCGGCTTAGTTTTAGTCGGTTTAGTTATAGTCGGCTTGGTTTTGGTAGTTTTAGTCGGCTTGGTTTTGGTCGGTTTAGTTATAGTCGGCTTGGTTTTGGTCGGTTTAGTTATAGTCGGTTTAGTTTTGGTCGGCTTAGTTTTGGTCGGCTTAGTTTTGGTCGGTTTAGTTTTGGTCGGTTTAGTTTTAGTCGGCTTGGTTTTGGTCGGTTTAGTTATAGTCGGTTTAGTTTTGGTCGGCTTGGTTTTGGTCGGTTTAGTTTTGGTCGCGGTTTTAAGTTTTGTCGGTTTGGTTTTGGTCGGTTTTAGTTTTGGTCGGCTTGGTTTGGTAGTTTTAGTCGGCTTGGTTTTGGTCGGTTTAGTTATAGTCGGCTTGGTTTTGGTCGGTTTAGTTATAGTCGGCTTGGTTTCGGTCGGTTTAGTTTTGGTCGGTTTAGTTTTAGTCGGCTTGGTTTTGGTCGGTTTAGTTATAGTCGGTTTAGTTTTGGTCGGCTTGGTTTTGGTCGGTTTAGTTTTAGTCGGTTTAGTTT